AATACTAACAATCTGTAATTATTACATCAAAATAATAATAATAAAAATATCCCTCCACTTCTTCACAGGTATAGAATTTTAATCCTCTAATTGTTCTGGCCTGAGTCCTGGGATGGGCAATTCTCTATGCTGAATTAGATCCCTTCTGGACAGAGACAACCATGGAGATTTGGACCATGTTTGGACTAAATCAATCTATGTAAGAGATTATTTTAAACAGCCTTGATGTTTTTTTGTTTGATTTTTGGTTTTTGTTTCGTAGTTTTGGGGAAAAGATGCTTACAAAAATGATCTGTGAACTAACATGACTGTTAAAACCATGTACCTTCCATTTGTCATCAAACAGGCTTTCTGTATTTTTTGAAATGTACTAACAATATAATTACTTTTATAACACAAAATTATGAAATGGATAATTTTTAATAAAGAATCTTTCATTTGGTGAACTGTAGCAATAATCTGTGTGTTTTACATTTGAGAATTGCCATAAGCACAAACCACCACAACTAGTAGTTGTGGTGGCTTGTTGATAGTAACATACAGTAACCCCTACAGTATACACGCAGACAGGAGCCATGCTTGCCAAACACCTGAGCTGACCTTCACTGACAAGCACAGCTTGTAAATATGCTTTTAAATATGCTGCAGAAACTGTATAACATTTTTTTTCTTGGCTTCAACTGACAGCTATAGAGTTACACTTAGATTTCGACAAAAAGTGAGAACTTCTACCTTAGAGCTATGAACTTAATTGAATGATACATGACAATAAAAACAGAACCTTCACAAGAACCTTCTTATGTGCCAAAGAATTTTTATAATTCAAAATTTCTGTTTTACTGTAATTATATACTAGATTCTTTCTCATGAGATCATTTCATTCTTCCTGCATTTTTACAACACTACACTTAAAAATGAAATTGGAGCTTTCGGACTTCCTTGATACTTTTACAAATTAGGAAATACTCTGAGCTATCAATCAGCCTCCTCCTCCAGCTTGGCAATACTCTGGAGTCCCAGTACCTCACCTGCGACTTCCCAAGTATTTCCACAGTCATATATAGGCATTATGATAATGCTGTTCTGGCATCAGTGCAGGATCAAGCAGATGGTATAGTGACAGAAGACCTTAAAACAAGTCTGCGGCTCGTGAAAATTCCACCAAAAACAATATTTATTTTGTATCATTGCTTTTTTACATATGAAATGTCTTTGAGATGACAGTTAACGACAATCTCTATCATAAGACCCTTAACCAAATAACATACAGCGAATAGATATTTTAACCTTAAACTACTTTTCTCTGACACTTTCAGTCTCAACAGCATTCTCTCAACACTTTTCTCAGTATATTGAAGGCTAATATGGTAAGAATTAGCCCTAATTTTAGAACAGCCAAATATGTCAAGTAACAGCCAATTTTCATTTTACTTGCTAGCTATAGATTACTAAATCATAGCTGTGTATTGCACTAAATATAAGTTGTTTTTTTTTTTTTTTTTAATTATGTAATCACTGGCAGATTCATTCAGAATACAAGCATTGTACCACCTCTACTGTGGAAGAAGTTACATCTTCATGATCAACAGAGTTTATTTGCACATAAGAAAGCAATTAAGTAGTGCAATACCAGCAAATCCTTTTAAGGCACAAGAAATCCTGTCAGCTAAGGGTTAACTTCAGTATTCAGATGCTGGAACTGATATTAACCCTTTCTCTATCAACACATTATAAAAAATCCTACTGAAAAGTGGCCTGCAGCCAAATTAAAAATGCAACAGAATATTTTAAGAAGAAAATGTTTTAAGAGACTTCAGGACTACTAAACAATCAGGTGAACATTATTTTTCCTCTTTTTTCTTTTTTTACCACTAGACATGCCCATTAAAAGACAAAAATTAGTGTCCTTAGTACAATCTTTACATTTTATTTCAGTTTTATTACATAAAAATGGTTGTTAATTGAAAGAAAATACTATTAGAAAAAATGCATGGGACTAAAAAAGTTGGGGGTTAATTAATATAATAGCATTTTTATATTTGCCATTTGCCTATTTCTTCCTTTTAATACAAAATGAACCATCAGTCTCCTAGTAAGAAAATAGTTTCAGCTACTATTACCTGGTCTCTGGAACTGCAGAAGACAGAACACTAATGTGTAATTAAAGGATGTACAAAAAACTATTAAATACCTTTGTGCTTTCTTAGGCTATGGATTTGGGGGGGGGGGGGGGTGTGTGGAGAGGCTATATAAGAGAAGGTATTCTAACAAATCAGTTTAGCCTTGAAACAGAATCAAGCGTTTATTCTAAGCAAGCCATTTCTTCAAAGCAAAGCTGCAGGGTGTTCATCTTCAAGATTAATCAAGACCCAGAAATAAATAAGCATCCGTAAAGCTCAATTTATTACTAATGTTATGATCAACTAGGAAGAAAATACAGACTGATAAGTAGAACATATTATATTTTCACCATGTATCCATATCTGAATTATTTAATTTACCTTTTTATGTAACTTTAAATGTTCCAACTCATTGTGAAATTGAATACTATACTGCCTTACTCAACACTGTGAACTTACCAACATTACAAAATACATCCCCCCTCCCCCCTCCACACACACACTTTTTAAGAAAGAAGCGTTGATTCTTAAGTCTGTTTGATCTGGCAGTTTCATCAACATTGCAGCATTAGAAAGAAAATCAGTTACAAATCATTGCACTGCATTAGCTAGAACAGTGGGAGGTACACTCAGAATGAAAATAAGGAAAGGAAACAAAGGAAACAGAAAAATGTATGCAGACTAGATACAAAAATACGAAGAAGATACATACCTGGATTAAATTCTTCTTAAAAAAAAAAAAAAAAAAAAAAAGCAGATTACATACCACCATCTTTATATTATTTTCCTTTTATGAAGAAATACTGTGCACAACTCCATTGCTATTTTCTCATTCTTCCTTCAGCCTTAAAAACGGTGCAATACAACATGAGGCTGCTTCTCAGTGATTCAACTCAAGTGCAATCAGGCATGCTGTCAGTCCGCAACAATATCTGTTCAAAATTCCATCATATTCCCTAGGCAGCATTAAATGCTTTCTCCACCAGCCCCCCTTCCTGGTGTTTTTTTTTTTTTTTTTCCACCCTCCTACAACTTGTGGTAACAGCTAAGAGTAATTGTATTCATTCTGCATCTCAGATTTATTTCTTCACTATAATAGCAAAATGGGAGTCAGCATCTTACTCCTGGTCAAGTACAACATCAACAGGAGAGAACAGCAATCTTCCTTGTGTTTTATGTGCTGGTAACTTCACCCATTGCTGTTTTCTTCTGACACTGTTTCTGAATGCAGCGTTCGCTGCAATAGCCACAGCCCTCCAGCGTGGAAGGCAGCCCCTCTGCTTCACAGATGGAGTAAAATAGGCTTATTGAGAGCCCTTGCTCATAGAAACAACACATGCAGTGCTTCGTGAGAGCTAGCAGGTGCACCACTGTCCACCAGGGTAACAGGGAGAGATAGCATCTCTTGGTTGGCAGGGATGTGTTTCACCTAGCCTTTTATTTATCAGTTTGACATGACACGAAGAGAAACAATTGTATATATATTTTTTTATTTCAGTGGGGATTTCACCAGCAGCTGATTATTGTTTTTAATTAATTTATTTTTTTAATGAATCTGCTAAACCAGTTCCTAACAATTAATATTCCATGTTTATTTAAGGTTGCTCCAGATAGCAAGCAGTATATCACTTCTATATTTTCCATACAGTGTATTTCGTATGCTCTCAGTTAATACCCAGAGAGTAGGACTCAGTCATTTGTTTATTTGGATTCAAATAGCGGATCAGATTATTATTATGCATGCAGTAAGTAAATCATTACCCTGTACAGAATATATTGGGTGTTCTTTCAAATGTTATCTGACTTAATAGCATGTGTGTAAGGCCACATTCAACATATTAAAGATGTATTCAAAACTCTGGCACATGAAGAACTATAGAAATACATTCAGAATGATTCTATATAAAACCTTTCATGCAAAGATGCATACCTACATGTATAATGCAAGTGTAAAAGTTTTACAAAACATATGTACATGCATACAATTGCAGCTATACTATTACCACTTAAATCTTAGAGATAGCAACACTGAAATTCCACATAAAATACAAAGTTTTCTAGCAGAAAACTATGTATAATTCCTGCATAAAGATAAAACTTCAGAATTTCTGGTCATATTTGTACCAAAGAAACTAGTAATTCAGTTATTTACATCTAAATTACATTGATACATTGAGTAAAAGATAGTGGTTAAAAGTATTTAACAATTTCTAGTAATAGTTATTTAAAGCTCTATTGGTTGTAGCTTTCACTTTCTGCAATCATTATATTATTATAGCAATGGGATTTTGGAACACAATGCTTTTTAAGTACAATTTACAGATGGAACAATTCTAGAACATAAAGCCCAATTACTGGATATAAGTTATTTGTTTGGGTATATCATTATAAAAATAATTATGCACCATTATTATCTTTTATTGAAATTAATGGAACCTATAAATCCTCCTTTTAATTAGACTTATAGTTAAGAAGTAGATGAATGTTTTATTATTCATGTCTTATTGTAATTTTTAGCCTATAGTAATTAGTATTCTACCTAAACTTATACAAAATGATGTTTCAAATCTACCACGTTGCATGCCAACAAAAGTGCAATAAAACTTATAAATGCACAATATACAATATTCCACTGATATAAATATTCGGTAATATATGCCTAATTACCTGAGATGTAACAATAATGCCTCTCAAAATCAACAAGGCTTCTCATTAAGGATGCAAAGTGTATAAAAATAAAAAATAAAAGAATCAGGCAGCCTAATCAATCATGGCTACCCACAGTAGATACATACTTATGACAAATTAACTGTATTTCTGTGAAGATTAAGCAAATGGTTTTGAGACTACAGACAGTAAAAATGGTAAATACTGGGAAAGTTTTGCAAAAATAGCTTTTTTATTTAATAAAAATTGTTTACAAATAGCGTAACTCATAACATTTAGTGTTGTTGTTTTCAAGCAAGTTGCTATGTATTGACCCTTTTTATACTAAACTGGAATGTTTTCAGGTGTTGAATGGTTTAATTTGAAGCCACTTATTTGAGAGCAATGAATTTTGTTTTGCAAAATTTATCTTTCAATTGTTTTTATATTGATATATATATAAATATCAGGTGAAGTGTACATATACAAAGGAAAAAATGAAGAAAAAAACAAAGGCCGTCAGATCTAAATTATGATTTATCTACCCTGGAAATAAACTTCCATACAGAACTTGCAAAAACCAGCAAAATGCTGATTCTTATTGCAAAGATCTGGACCAATTAAGAAAGTAATTTTAGTTATAAATACATCTTAATTACCTGCAACTAGATTTACCCAAATTCATCTTCACAAGAAAGCTATTTTGTATGTCTGTTCACATGATCTACACACAGATATGATTTTAAGAACTTTTTGAAATAAATATACAAGCAAAGATTTTCATTCTGTATAGTACCTAAAATAAGTGTATATATGTTCTCACAGTTCTTGTTGTGCAGATACTTCCATGTTAATGACTGGAATGAAGCTACTGTTCTTAAAAGAACATCCATACCAACCTCAGTAAACTAATACAAAGGAACAGTTCAGACACATGGGTGATTTGCAGTTTTGTGGTTACTTGCCATGATCCCCATGTGTTGATGAAGTCATCTTTATTAAACACACCTTTAAGGGCTGACACTGTTTTAATGTACTTCATGGACAGCATAAAAAACATAACTGCCACTTGTATAACAGTAGAAATACAGACCATATACACATGCTGTGATTCCTCTTACACAATTCTAGCCAATCCAAGTATCTTAATAGTACCAGCAACTACTTCATCCAGCCAATTCACATGTGAAGAAAATCTGTAACGCACCAAAACCAAACACAACCCCCATCCAAAACCAAAACCACAAACAAAAAATAAATCCCAGTGGCATCTAACAGCCTTCACATGCATCTATTCTGTATGTCTATTTCAAGTATTAGGTGACCATGACATTCAGCAACAATTCTTTGAGGCAGCCATCTGTCAGTGGTCAAGTGTTCTTGGTATAAAGCTAATGGTGCCAATGAAGTTGTATTTGAATAAAATGAACACAATGAAGCTCCAGGCACATGTGCTTGGGGGAGAGAGGTCATCAAAAACACTAGCTCGTATAGAACAGAACAGAATACCCTGAGCTGGAAGGAATCTGCAAAAAAACGCAGAGTTCCTGGCTCCACACAGAAATACCTAAAAATTAAAACATATGTCTAAGAGCATTGTCCAAATGTTTATTGAACTACAGACTTGGTGCCAAGACCATTAACCCTGAGAACCCTGTATCTCATAGTATCACTGTACCTGCAAGATAAAGTTGTACAATCTGAAGATGTAAAAGATAGGTAATTTTAGCTCTGTTCCAGGATAATTATAGTATGGACAACAACTACTAACATTCCTTAAACAAATTACTACTACTTTAGTCACTGCTAACTTGCATGGAACTCAGACAGGAGTTCAGGAGGAATACTTCCATGCACCTTCACATCTCCAAGGCAAAACAAATCACCCCAACAAGCTTCAGGACAGAGAGTGACTATAATCTTTCTCATCTTTTCTAAAAAGAGTCAGACTTTTCCTTCTGTGGTTTTTTTTTTTTTTTTTTTTTTTTTTGACTGAATAGCTTTGAAATAAATAAATAACAAAACTATAGAAATGAATAATAATAAATAACAAAACTATTAGAAATGAATAAAAAGCTGAAACAACAGCTTCAATGCATCTAATAATTTCTCTCACTTAAGGATTATTATTCAGAGAAATATTGTTGCAAGTGAGAACACATGTAGTAGTACCCTTTGATCCTGATTAAGTAGTTTAAACTCTGAAGCTCTTCTGTAGGGGAAAAACAAATTCTGAAATTTCAAAGTAGTTAAAACTTTCCCAAATTTACTTATCTTTTCAATCTTATACTCAGCTTATAAAATTTTGAGTCCATCTGCACCCAAACTATACCAGTATGTATTTCATTCTTTAGGCTAAAATACACCTTAGGATATCAAGCTCAACGTGGAAAACAAATCCATCTGAAATACAGTGTAATAATCTTATAAAAAGCAATTTTATATTTAGAAATCAATTACATTCTGAAAATGGGACAATGGCTTTGCTGTACAGATGCATTTTTACACACATACATACAAATATTATTATTATTAAGTTTCAGCATCTGTAGAAAGAAAACGTTTGTATATATTGTTTAAAAATAATAGTCTGTCAAGTGAAAATATTTAAGAGATTTCCATTACTAATTCTAGGTAATATAACCAGTGGTAAATAACTTCTTTAGATATTAACTGATTGTTTCTATTGATGAATACTTATACAGAAACGGTGATTTTTATAAACTGATTAGAAGCAATTTAAATTTCATGATGGATCTCAGCCTGAAATTTGGGAAAGCTGCCACAGAATTAAGCTCTCTCTATGCCATCTTCCACCTCTCTAGTCTTATTAGAGGACCAATATTCCTTCCCTTTCATTACAAAAAGGCAGTAAGTGTGTCAGTTCTTAAATTGACCAATTAACAATAAATAAAACCAATCAATCAGTTCTTAAATCATGTATTCTAAACCTAGTCAGATATTGGATTATTTCTTCCAGATTAGAAGGAAAAAAAAAAAAAAAAACAAACAACTGGGAAGAACAGAAAGGCAGTTTCTGCAGTCAGTTGGAATGAAATCACGCGGTCTGCCTGCAGCCGCAGGGATGCGCAACAACTGCTCCCCCAGGGTGCGTGTGTGGCCGGGTCTCTGCAAGCAGCCGCCGCGGCCCCGGCTGCAGCAGGCGGGGCGACGACAGCGGCCGTGCGCTCCCAGCGCCCCCCCTGCTGGCGGCTCGACGGCCCCAGGCCCGCAGAGCGGGGCGCGCTGCTGCCCGCAGTTGTCGGGACGCTGTCGACTTCAAATCGCCTGCGGACGCGGTCTGCGACAGCCACACAACTACCAGAGGTGATCACGCTCTGCCTGCTTAGCAGAATTTCTAATTTATTAAAAACGTACAGAGCACTCCCACACTTTTTTTTTTTTTTTTTTTTTGGAAGCGCATACAGAGTTTTAGAGACATGCTTCTCTCACACCGTGATTATTTTCTTTACAGTATACATCACCATTTTTATCTAGAAAGAAGCCTTTATACTAAGAAGGGAAAAGAGAAAATAACTATTCATGACATGCAAATTTTGACATTTCATAAGTGCATAGGATCCATCTGTAAATTGTTTTTATATTTACACTTCAAGAAGACTAGGAAGTATTTTGGATATATATTTTTTTGAAGTTATGGAGGTTCAGACCATTTCTTATTTCCACTATACCTTCTCCAAACACAACCTCTTTAAACTTATTTTTAGATTCATAAAATTATGCTTTTTAATTTCCATAAAGTGAGATAAAAGCAGATAGAAGGTTTTAAAATCAATAGAGAACACACAATTTTCAAAACATAACAGCTTTTGGACAATTTAAGCAGAAGTTGGCTCTGATTTCAGAAAGGAAAAAAAATATTATCTAATGCATTGTGCAAATATTTATTTTTGCTCTCTTAAAATTGCATATAAACTTATTATTGGTGCTACAGACAGAAAAGCATAATTAACTCAGAGTAATAAACTTGTCTGCTTTTTCTCATTGTCCTATTATACAAGTCAATTTTTATTATTTCCTCTTACAAATAATTTATTTCTATTGATTCTTCACAACTTTATTCCAGATAAAACAACCTGTATTATAAGCAAACACTGACACAGATCAAACTACGTGCATTAGACTTTCCATTTCTCTGCTCTATCAGTGCATGCATCCTGGTCCCAGCTGAGGAACTGATTGTTGCCTTCAGCCAAGGAGTTTGAGTTTCTTTGATGCAAGATCTCGTACATGCTAATGCTCTTGGTTGAGTTTTACTGAGAAAGCTGTAATTAAAGTGTGAGCAAGATGAGAAGAGAAGGGAAGTTGTGGGATGACTCAAATAAAAAGAAGAGGAGCAAAGCAAATCTGAAGATGGCAATTCAATATCAACAAGGATCAGTCCATTGCAAGGAGCAGCAGAGAGATCCTTCCCCACTTTGCTGGCCCAGTGGAACACGAAAACAGAACAGAAACACCCAGTCTTATTGGGATGATGCACATATTTGTGATTAGCCTAGTAAGTTATTGATCCTAGCTTTCTCTTGTTCATGTTAAGAAACAAATAATTGCTTTGCACTCAAGTTTATCCTGCCTGTAGAGTCCCTTTACACAAGGAAAAGCTCTTTGGAACAAAAGTAACCTAGAGGGAGGAATTTACATTATCTCCATTCCACACAGCCCTCAGTCATATACTTAAAGTCAAGTATATACTTAACAGCCATACTAATGGCACTAAATAAGAGTCTGAACCACCAAACTATCAAAGAAAAAATTATTTGGTAGTGAATTGAAAACAAATGGCCAACATCACTAATTTGAAAATAGGCGAAGTGGGTAGATGGCAAAAGGGCAGATCGACAGAAAATTCTGTAAGGGTGAGACAGGAACTCTAAAGCAGGTGCTGAAATGACTCTAAAAGCTGAATACTTGCAAAAATCCTTCTCACAGTGCTAGGACTGACAGAGCAAAGGGATATATCATTTATAACAAACCTGGAAGCAAAGTAATTTGCTCTCCTGGATGTTTTTCCCCAAGCCTTCACTCTCTAGCCCCTGCTTAGATTCCATCAATATCTTTTATTAGCTTTCCATTAGTATCATTCCTTCTGCCAGGTCTTCATAAGTGTTCTTTTCTCAACTGGACAGTGCTTTTTTCTATCTCCTGCCGCCGGGGGAGATCCCAATTCGTGCCCAGTTGCTGGCCATCCCAGTACCTCTTCCCTCTCACAGTGTGACTTTTCCTTTATTGCTATTACAAGAAGTACTCTATCAATTTATCATTAACTCCAACTCTCTACAACTTAATAGATCCTTGCCTTTAACCATCCTACATATTCATCTTTATTACCTTTATTGCATTCAGAAAAAATCTTTTGCTTCCACAGAATGTTATTCTGGAATGACAGTTGATTGATACCAACTGGCTTATTTTGCCTGTTTTATGTGAAGTACACATTCTCACTTCTAAATTTTCTCTAAGAACCCTGTTGCATTTCATAATCTTTCAAGCATCACCTCAAATATTCACAAAATCCTCTTTAATTCAGTTACAAATATGCTGTAGGAGCTATAAAATTCTGTAGCATATTGATTAAGCCATAGACTATCAACAAAACCAGTAATAAATAATTTAACATGGGTCCAAAGACACTGCACATCACTAACAGGTTGCTGGAAATAGATATTGAAATGGGGGAAGGTAAAGAATGTTACAATGGTCTCTCTGAACTTTGAAGCAAAAGGGAAAATTGAAGTTTAATTCTGGAATAGAGTATGTTACAGGATGGTTAGAAACCATCTTGTTTGTTGATGTTCTTTTATGACAGTCAAGAGAGAAATACTAGCTTTCTAACTCTCTATATTATTATTTGTATCTCAATTTTTGAAGAAGAAAGCAAAATAATAGTTCCTTTTCTGTCTTTGTCCAACAGATTTCTTAAATGATGGTGCAGCAGCTCTTAAAGATTCTTCCCTGGAGTCTATAATTCTTAATACCTTAATTTAACTCAGGAAGGCAATTTTTACATTTCATGTCATTTTAAGGGGAAAAATAAAATCATAAAAGTATTTTGTTGTTGTTGTTTTGTTTTGTTTTTAGTAACGTATATCTTGGCACAGAAGTCATGAGACATTGAAGACAAAATGACGGAATAATTTTTCACTTGAAACATAGTCCAATTAGGACATCACTAGTAACATGTTAAACAATCTACCAACGGAGCAGCACAAAACTTACAGTTACTTCCATGCATCTAGCTGCTATGTTCATTTTTTACCACGACCTTCCTTTACACCTCATTGATGTGAGATTTTGGCCTACTAGCTGAATTTCTAATCCATTAACTATACTTAGACCTACGTCTTGCAGGGTGCAGTCATGTATGATTTTTCTTTTGTTTTACTACCAAACACAAGAGGCTTGTGCAATCTTTACTTTCATTCCTTGAGAGTTAACACTGGGCACTGAAGGCCAGATTTCCTTACTTTTATGCACTTGCATGCATTTGTCAATGAGGCCAATCAACAGGCCAAAAGGTACCAGTTTGATAAATATCATACAGCTTTTCTGTGCTGATTGAATTTATCTTGGAATAAAGATTAATCAATTTCACATGAACTCTTAGAGGAAATAATTGTTATCTGCAAACATTGTACTCCTTGTTGTGGGTTCAGTAGCTAAACCTAAACGACTCGGTTTTGTACTGCTGATTCACAGATCAGTGAATGGCCTTTTGTCAAAGTAAGTTTTCCAAACACTTCTTGAAAGACTAAAGGACAGCCATTAAGTGATCTCAGAACTGTTAGTCCAATCTTTTCCTGTTGCCCCTTTTACCTTCTTCAAGTACAGTCAAAAAGTTTAGACAAGATATTCAAGATATTTTTTTCAGAAGTCAAACTACTTGATATAGCCATTCAATAAGGGCCTATTAATTCAGATAATAAATAATAAAATGATTCAGGAAGGGAATACACCCCAGAAAGTCCTTCAACTACTCTGATATTTTGAACTGCCTCATAATGTCAATTAATATTCTAAACCATTGTCAAAATATCTTTAAATGGGCAAACTTGCACTGATACTAAATTCACTTGATTGAAGAGAAACTGCAGTTAAATATTTCTTTGTATTCATATTGTCAGTTCATTTGTCCTTGTTTAAATATTTCATTTAAATATTTAATCAATATGCTCATTGTCACTTGAACACTATAATTATGTTTTAATTGAGTAGGGATACAGATATTTATTATTATCAATTTAAAAAAGGAAATATTTGTTTATTTACACTTGAAGACACTTGCATGTCAATCACTACTTGGAATACAGGGACACAAAATTGTTCAACTGAAAGATTTTTGAAAACTGAAGTTTCTTTGGACATGCTGAAATCTTTTAAAGGGAATATTTTCATTAATCCCACAGCAGCATAGTTCCTAAGCAGGGAAAGGATTTCTGCTTAACCAGTCCAAAAATCCCATTGCTGTCACTGTGCAGTACTCACTTTAGTATTAGTTTATCAAGTTTTTTTTTTTGTTGTTTTTTTTTTTTCCCTGAACAAGACAGTAAATCAATACCGCTGACAAAACTAAGCTACAGATAACTTCTGTTAGTGAGCATTCACATACTGAACATCACAGCATCTGTCATATGGATAACCTTGAATCACAAAGAACAGCATAAAAGCAACGCACAGTGAATACTTAATTATCTATCATCTTTTGTTAGTATTGGAACACACACCAAATATTTTTAATGGTATAAACATTGATATTTAGATATACTATGCTCATTCTACAAACTAAGAAATAAGACATGTAAGGAAGATACATCTAGGCTAATCCATGCCACTACATTTATTTTATTTTTCAAAATCATCTCCAGTTATAAGCCACTTAATATGGTGCCACTATCTCACCATCTTTCCTGTACCAAACATAGTTGTGTAAGGGTACAAAGGATAGCTTATTATGAGCAGTTTTTTGTTTAATGTTAGCCTTCAAAGTCAATTATCCTAATTTTTTTTGTAAAATTTATATGTACGTATGTATATATGTATATGGAGATGACATTTATTCAAGTGATTATATTTCAGAAGCAAAAAAAGTCTCTAGAATAGATAGGGTTAGTAGTTAAAGATAGGAGCAAAATGACATACACTGTGGTGTGTAGGTGGGAAAGAAGAAAAGGGAGAATGTATTTGATTGTATTTAAGGTTGATACTGAGCCAAAAAAAAATAATAACGCACACACTGTAAACCCATCCTCTCACAATTATTACCAGTACTTAATAGCTCTGATTTCAATTCTGTTAGAAAAATGAGGGGAAAAAAAAACAACCAAACAAAAACAACCAAACAAAAACAACAAAAAACCCACAACCTCTTCATTGTCCCTAATGATACAGTAAACATGAAACTGAAAAAACAGGTGTTGGATTCAAGAAATTCTGTTTTGGATTTTTGTTTTTAATCAAGAAGCAAAGCTACAATTAAAGGTCCCTATCTGGTCCTGCAGTGTTTTTTAAAACACAATTTTTCATGTACAATTTTTCCTCAAATGCTTAAATTCTGTCCCCTCCCATATATAGAAGTGATTTCCCTCATACTTTTATTTTAGCATTCTTACATCCTAAAAGATTCCAAGAAACCTTAGCTATTGCAAGCAGACACTGTGGCAATTTTTTATATACAGAGAGACATTCTCCAGACCAAAAGCTTGGCACTTTTCCTATCTGGTCAATGTTTGAGTAAATATTCATTAGCTGCCATCCCTGTGGTGAACTACTGGCTGTCATCTCATATTTAATCAGAACTGCCTAACTCAATCTCTTAATTCCATAGGCTAACATTAAACGCATACATCCCATATATTCTTTCTGGAACTTCAGGACCTTCAAATGGCACTTTGCTGTCCAGACAGTTGCTAATAAGTCACCTATGTATTTTCCAGTGCAGTAACAGTTCATGTTTGTTGTATCTGAGAAGAGATAACTGAAACTGCAGCACTCCAACTTCTCTGTAATGGGCAGGTATCGTGTAGTTGTCTGTTTTAAAGACCATCCACATGAGAAATCTCCCCACACACAGTCACCTCTATTCTAAGTTAAACCTACTTCCTTAAACAACCAAGAATAGTGGAAAAAATATTTTTTTTATGTATATATATTATATATATATTGCTATTGCTGTAGCTCCTCTGCTCTTAAAAGCCTCCAGTGATGGATATCCTGCAGCCTGCACCAATGCCTAAGAACCTTCCTTGCAGTTAAACCTTCCTGAAGGTCATTATTTCTTTTCCCAATTCCTTATAGACAAAGACAGTTCCCTTCTTGGGGAAGCAGGATCTTACAGTACACCTACATACAGAGGTTACTTTCTTTGATGAATTACTCATTTTTCTCATCATTAATTTTCTCATGAAAATTACTCATTTTATTTGTAAATACTATACCATCTGTAAAACACATTAGAATTGTTTAGTTTTCTGATCTTGTGCTACATATATTCTTTAACGTTCTTGTGATGGCCCTTTTTAGCCACAAACATACATGTAAGTAGAAATCTTATTTTGGTTAAGCATTGGTAGAGATTTATCCTTCATGACTCAGATTTTTTGAGCAAACACTTGCACTTAATGTCATATCAATTATTTAAATTGACACGGACTAAAGCACAATTAGAATTTAAACAGAGGACAAAATAACACGTCAATAAAAAGGAAGTGTAGTGACAGCTTCAGAAATTTGCAAGCTAGGTCATCTCCTCTAAGTAATCCCTATCTTTTTATTTTGTTTCTCACACGAAAATGTTGGAAAATCCAAGAATCTTTTTTTCTTTTTTTTTTTTCGCTTTTAAATATATGCTGTAGGTACTATATGAATTCAAAAACAATGTTCCATTTAGTTTGTAATCTCATCTGATACAAAATACATTAAGAAGGAAAAACAAGGTATAGTGGTACACAAAAGGCAGACAAACGGTATTGGTTTTGGTTCTCCACTGAAAGTGTGTTTTTTGAACTAATTAATTAAATCTAAAGATTCTAAAAATTTAAATCACAGATGATGTGGATGATAGTAATCTAACCAGTTGGCTATAATACAGATGTATTGCCTCAATTTGAGAGAAGAACACACAACATTAAAAACCTATGAAACACACAAATATATTAAGTAAGTCTATTTACTATTTTGTTTAACAGTTACTAGTAAATCTGACATACTCTTTCAATGACTAGAGAACACACCAACATCTAGCTCATTAGTTTTGAAGCTAGCATTGACTGTCAGTTGTATGGTGGCCACTGGTCAAATAGGCACTGCTTCACTAAGAAGATTAACCAGAACTTAAAAAACATCATTGGTGTTTTGAAAATATGAATTGGATTCAGGCACCAGAGAAAATGAGCTTCTGGACATGTCTTTCTGGGCTGTACTATAACTGCCATATACAACGATGACACAAGTTCATTGTTTCTGAAAATTTATCTTCAGGATGAAAAGAGAGACAAAAAGACCAATATAACCTACAACCTAAGCCAATGAGGCATGCAGATATTGCCTTTAAATATTTACAAACTGGGAATAAAAATACTACTGTATTTACTATGAGGGTGGTGAAACACCGAAACAGGTTGCCCAGAGAAGTTGTGGATGCCCCATCCTTAGAAGTGCTAGATTGCCAGGCTGGATGGGGCTTAGAGCAGCTTGGTCTGTTGGGAGGTATCCCTGCCCATGGCATGGGGGCTGCATTAGGTGGTCTTAAGTTTCCTTCCAACCCAAACCATTCTATGATTCTTTCAAAGCAACCAAATCTTTTCAGAAGAACTAGATGTCTGAAGCTACAATTTCTGGATTAATATGCAATGAAGATAAAATGGCCTAACTACAATAATTTCTCACACACCTAAAGAAAGTTTCAAAATATCACTTTTTTTCTGTTCCAGGAAAAAAAAAAAAAAAAAAAAGGCGACAACAACCTGATGGGCGGGAACCATGTGGACTTTTAAGAACCAGTGGAAGGAACTGGCTCTCTTGGAAAGTCAGCAATCACAACCTCAGATTCTGCTGTTACTAATAACAACTTACACGATGAAGAAATCTTATACTAAGTTCTTCCTTGACCTGAGAAAATTCTTTATGTTATAGTAATACATCAGTAGTTTTAAGAAGAGCTCTTACCTTCTGAATAGCCCTGGCCCATCTTGCTTTTGCAAAATTTCTTCCAGTTTGATTTTTATTTCTTCTGGTGAAAGAAAACATATTTAGAATAACAAAGTATAGAAAAAAATTAAAGAGCTCTTATAAGTGTACAGACATACTGATCAAGGCTAGGTAAAACCGTAGTCTTTTCTGTGTTTCTTCTGTATATACTACATGCTTTTTATACTAGAAAATATTAGCTTTATGGAAGTTATTCTTAATACGAACTTATGAAAACTTGCCCCGGTATTTCTTGGAAAAGTAACTTTATACTTACAGGAACATAACTAAGCACCACACAGCATCATCTTTCTACTCAATATGTAGAGCTGTTCATTAAGTACTCTATCAGTAAGTGCATTCACAAGTAGCTTTACTTTGCACATAATAATACCAAACAAGATATATTTAAACATGTAAGAAAACTCTTTATTATGATCTCTTTAGGTCTCAACATGGAAGATTTTATTCATATCTGACAAATGATACATTATGAACTAGATCAGCATTTGTTATAGTGGATAACCAGAAGGAAAATTAAAGTTGCAATTAAATATATATATATATATATATACATGTATATTATTTCAAACAGCTTTAGTTTTGAATGGATTTCAATGCTGAAATTAATAACATAAAAAGCCACTATTTTAAGTCTCAATAATTAATATTTTGATTGTCTTACTTTCATTACAATGAATATAAGGATAGACAAACACATTTCTCTCTCCTCTTTATTCTCTATTAGGGTTCTTAGTTGATAAAATAGAGCAGAATATTTATAGTGAAAAGTCCCTAGATCTGCTGGTGATTTAACTGTAAAATTAGAGCATGGCACACACATGCTTGATTCAGCATAGAGGGAAAAATATACAGACACTAGACAGTAAACAAAACACATGTAAGAAAATATCAGACTGGGCTTCTGAAACAATTCTCATCTATCCAGGCATTCTGAAGCAGTTAATATATGTTCAAGGACAGAAGACTTGCTCACAGTAACCTCTTTGGATTACTTGGAGCTACAGTAATTCTAAGAGTATACTTGGCTTGCAAAGACATGACCCTTGCCCTTATATAATTAATAAGTTATGAAGGAACATTGGCAAAGGAACGTATTTCCTCCTTATTCTGCTTCATAAGTAAGGATTACAAGATCTTTGATATCAAATGGCAGGATAATATGAAAAAAGTGTTGGTGGCTGGGGGGGGGGGGGGGAAGGGAGGGGCACAGAAGACCCTGAATTTTCTCAGTAAAGGCAAATCCTTGTGAGACAATTAGCACTGTCATCCACTGTTTGCAAATGGCACTAAAAGAATTAGTGAGAGGTTATCTTAGAACCATCAGCTCTAAAACCTTCAGCTATATCACTAAGAGGAAAAGAAAAAAAAAAAGTGACCAAAACAAAAACTTACATTTAATCACTTAAGCATAAGTAACAGAAATCTTTGAAACAGGAATGTCATGCAAGAGATTGCCCCCCACACTCAGAAGCTACAGAAATCAATTTTAATGATATTTCATTATTCAGCTTTTTCACCACACCTGTGAAGAACGTTGATTTAAGTTGTAATATACTAACTCAGTTCATGACTTTTACACACAGGTTAAAGTCATTAGTATAATCTCTAGCATTCCTGAGGAATTTATGTAATTCAAAATATACAGCCTCATACAATAAGAGGTAAGTAGTAAAATAAGATTATATAGTAAAAATTTATAGGTGTAATATATGGAGGGCTGTAGCAGCCTCTCTACTAAGTAAGGTTGCAGAGTATTAATACTATACTTTAGTAATATCATTAGGTCCACACAATCCTACTTAATTATCTTGGATTTCTAGAATAATGTTCTTTTATTTGAAGAGAAAAGTGTTCTCTCTGATAAGCAAAGTAGACCAAACATGATTCAAGTGAAGCATGAAGAGGTTTGTCTTCCCTTGCTCTTATCTTTGGCGCTGCAGGTTCAGCCTTTTTCCTACTTGCCTTTTTTTTTTTTTTTTTTATATATATAATGTAAAACATCCAAGTGATATTAGAAATTAATCCATTCCATCACGTTGCTGTTATTTAGATGGGAAATATAAGGCAATAATTAACCTCAGGAATTTTTAAGGTAATTAGCTTCAAGGTCAGAAGAAGAATTGATTATCAATGTTGATTCAGAAAAAAACAACAACAACAACAAAACAGATTAGAACCATTTTCTCTGCCTTAGCTGACAGTAAGCAGGGTCAAGAGCATTCTTATGTTTTGAAGGATAGTAGTACAAAGTCAGACAAAAGCATTTAGTTAGTCTGGATAACTTTTATAAAGTCATTGGTCTGTGATCAGTCTGCTCAGCAGTGCAGACATCTAAGGCAGCGTGTTCAACACTTGTTCCTACAACATACTGTGGTTTCTGAAAGGTAACTGGTCAGCCTCCTGTAGCTCACAATGATAGGAAGAAAAAAATAGAGAAATCTCATCATGAGACGTCCAGAAATACTCAGATACAATAAAATGAGCATGTAGCCCAGGTCAAAGTTTTGATGCACTGTGCATCAAACTTGTCGGGTCTTTTGATCTCCCTGTCATATGAACCTAAATAACCAGTCTTGGTGAAGTTAATTTACCATCAGAAGATATATATGCACAGGAATGCGCAGGCTAGATAAACATGAAGGCTGTTCACAGTTTTATCAAAAGCTAAGGATTTTTAGTAGAGCACAAAAATTACACTGGCACTTCCATTTAACAGATGCTTCACCTATCAATTTTGTTGCCCAAACACATTAAAATTGGTCCAGCATTTCAAAGACAAAGGGCATTTTCATGGCACTTCTTATAAAATTAAATCTCAGTATTGACTGTTGAAAAGCAGTTAATTACAGAGCAGTTACAATGTGGCTACATACAAATAATTACATCTTCTGAATGCTTATTTGTTTGCAATACACAGTCTAGAACACCTGCATTGATTTCTAAATATTCATCATTAATGTTGTTTTCATCAGCTCTGACTATAACCTGAAATAAACTGTAGAAAAAAAAAGAAGTTTTGACATGATTACACTCTATTTTTTCCTCCTCAAAAACATATATTATTAAGCATTTATTATTCAGCAATTTCTACTGCCCACTACCAACACTCATGCTGAAATTAACACATTCTGCTTAAATCAATCTCTAGTGGACTGGTCAAGCACAACTCTATCTTGATAGCACACTACCCCAAAATTGTTTATATTTGTTTTACTTGAAATAACTTTCTGGAAAGCAACTGACACTAGTCATTCCTGTAAGAATATAAAATATATAGATGCTTATTGTCATTTGTAGTTAGTTCACAGGGAGGATGGAAAAGAATATGTAAAGATGAACAGCTTCAGCATCTTTTAGCATAAGCAAAAGAAAAAAAAATAATACTTTTCAAGTACTAAAGCTATAGCTTCTGAAAAATATACATATGAATGTACCTTGGAAAGCATATAATAAGTCCATAAGGTACTTGAAACTTTTGAGGGAGGATTTACACATCTGTTGGTGCAGTGAAGCTCATCTAGAGAACTATCCAGATCTAGGGAAGTTGACACCAAAGTTTTGCACACTGGGCCAACTTGATGTTTATAATATGAACATACACCTGGGCTACTATAAACTTGTCCTTGCTATGCAACCTGCCAGGTGATTATCTGGAGCTGATTGTATTGAAATAGTTTGCAACTGAAAACAAAGCATCTTGGATCACCAGTTTTCAGAGCAACTCTCCTACTTAGTAGAAGAGAACACTGTTCATAGTGAAAAGTTTATCTGGAACTTGGATTTGTAAAAGTGAGATCCCAGACTTAAGAATTTTCATTCTAAAAAGCTATAATTTAATTTTAACTCATGTCACTGATCTCAAATATAGAGTACAGATAAAAGAATTGGTATAACATTAAAAAGCTACGTAATGAGATCCAGTTTCATAAAAACACTAGGAAGAATACTAGGCAGTACACGTCTAAGCTACAAAATGTTAAGAGGACATAAATGACCAAAAAAACCCCACACAACTGTAAAGGAGAATGAAGAAGAAGGCTAGGCTTTCCACAGTTGGATTTTTATTTTTTTAATTCTCACAGATTCATGCAAGTTAGCACTACCTAACTACTCCATATGTATATATATGCATGTATATGTACACATATTTTCACATCTCACTGACAAGAGAAGTCAGAATTTGCTCCATGATACCTTTCCTGTAGTATTAAATATACCCTTGCACAAGTTATTATTTGCAGGTGTTCAAGTTGCACTTCAAAATTCATTTTCCCAACAGTAAAGCAGAAAGTAATAAAAAATAAATAAAACCACACTCATGGGCCAACCACTCATTTCTACAGCAAAGTTCAATTTTCAACTTGCTTACGCTATTTTCTTTCACATTTGCTTTCTTATTATCTCTACTTTAGAAACTTTACCATCTTCACTTATCCGTCCACATCACATATATTTCAACTGCTTTCACTTACAATAATTCACATTTACAGTTCTAGGTTCTTGATTTTTGTTTTGTTTTGTCTTAAATCTACAACTATGAAGCTTTAGTTTCTTTGGGATAAGGTGCTAGATTTCCTCTCAGCTTGTATTTTGAACATAATATTATCCATGCTAATGAAATTATTTTCTGATTTTGAGATCACCTTGTGTACCTGCCTAAGTTTTAAAAGTACAACAATAATATTCAGACCAAAATATTTACTAAACACATAAAAAAAAAAAATAAAAAAAGAACAGATTTATATGCATATAGGTATGTGCTTAGTGTTTTTCTTCCCCAATTTTTGATTATCTTCTAATGAAACATCTAGATATGCATTCATCCCTATGGAAATAAAAATGTTGTTTTTGCAGAATTACATTGTTTAAAAGTAAGGAAGGTGGTATTGAGATATGCTTGCAGAGATAAGAAAAGTTAGCAGACAACATTGTAAAATGCAGATAACCAGACTCCTTAGAACAATTAGGTGGAAATCACTGAGTCAAGTCAGATAAGCGAAGAAATATTACCACTTCAAA